GAAAGAAAGAAAGAAAGAAAGAAAGAAAGAAAGAAAGAAAGAAAGAAGAAAGACCAATACAGAACTGTATTGCTGTTTGCTTGATAAGAAAAGTAGATAATTCTGGTGTCACCAGGTAAACAATAAACTAATCTCTCTTTTTCAACGGCAAATTGTCATTTTCCTGACGTGTCAGCCCCTTCAAGGTAGGCCAAGTCAAGAGACAGATTTGGCAGCGATTCCAAGAATGTGCTTTACAGGTAGTCCTTGACTTACAACTACATTTGAGCCCAAAATGTCTAATGTTAAGCAAAACATTTGTTAAATGCGTTTTGCCCCATTTTACGACTTTTCTTGCCACAATTGTTAAGTGAATCTGGCTTTCTCATTGACTTTTCCTTGTCAGAAGGTTGCAAAAGGTGATCACATGACCCTGGAAACACTGCAGCCGTCCTAAATATGAGTCATTTGCCAAGCACTCAAATTTTGGACACTCGACCATGGAGATGCTACAATGGTTGTAAGTATGAAAAATGACCATAAATCAGTTTCTTCATTGCCTTTGTAATTTTGAATGGTCACTAAATGTACTATTGTAAATCAAGGACTACAGTATAACAGTAGGGAAGAATAACAGAAGTCTGAATGTCCTTCAGATATTTCCTCTTCCCCACTTTATATTGAACAAAATCAAGGCCAGGATATTTTGAGTTTCTTTCTCATGCTTTCCTTTCTCTCAGAATGGAGTCATCTTTTCTTAATTCCCTCTTAAGGGTTGTCTCATTTCTTCCTCATTCCCAAGGTCAGGTCTACATTACGCTTCTGCCCACAGAGACCACAATTCGTTGTTGTTTTTTTACACTGCTTATCTACCTATCCTTCTGTGATTCTAAAGGATACAGTACTTAAATCACAAACTTTATTTTGGAATACAGTGGCAAGAAAAGACGATTGCCCCAATTTTGTAAATCAGCAAAAGAGACAATATATGATTACCTTGCAGTCCAAAACTTGGTTAGGATTCTGTATTCTAGATATGACCCAGAAAGAGGTCAGCGTGGGAAGGCTAGCTTAACAGACAACCATTCAAGCTTTCTACAAAATATTTCAATCGGGATAGAGAAAATATCACATGAATAAAAGTATTTGCATATGCAAGTAATCCTCAACTTATGACCTACAATCATTCCTTTAGTGACTGTTCAAAGGCACAGTGGCGCTGGAAAAAGTGACTTATGACCAGTCTTGCACTTAGACCATTGCAACATTTCCGCGGTCATGTAATCAAAATTTGAGCCCTTGGCACCTGGCATGCATTTATGATGGTAGCAGCATCCCAAGATCATAGAATGACTTTCTAGCCAGCTTCAGACAAGCAAAGTCAATTGGGGAAGCCTGATTCACTTAACAGGCACACGATTTTCTTTAGTGATTCATTTAGCTATCATTGAGGGGGGAAAGAGGTTGTACAATTGAGCCTAACTCACTTAAAAACCACCTTGTTGAGCAATGGAAATTCAAGTCTCAATTATGGTCATAAGTTAAGGCTATCTATAATTTAAGTTGTCGTTTTCTATTCAGATAGACCTTTGATTCACCTAATTCAGTACTGCTCAGGGCAGTGTCCATCCTGAGACTAAATCTGGGACCTTTGCAAAATGCCGAGCTGCAGGCTGCATTCTGTCAAAGAAATGACAACAATACACATTGTTCAACCTCTAAAAATTATAATGTACTTTAGCATGTGAGAATACAAATCATCGTTGACTTCTTTGAGCCAAAGAGTCTCTTTTACATTGGATAAACACACCAGATCAAAGCTGTGCTCTGAGTAAATGAATGAAGAAAGGAGATGAGCATTTAATGGAAAGAAATTATGGTAATAACCAAGAGCTGAATTTATAGCTTCCAAAAATGTAGTTCTGTTTTCCATATATAGCCAGCTACTGCTTTTCTAAACATGAAACGACCACATTTTCCATCAAAGCAAATGTTTAGGGAAAAAAATGGTTGTCTGCATCCAGATCCATAAACATTTATATTGTGCATGTTCCTTTTCTGTAATGAATACCCAAGGAACATTGTCAACATCTTCAGTAACAACTGAATCCATTTTGGTAAAATGCCTCTGCTCTGGTACAGCTGGTTTTCAGACATCATATCGCAAATCAGCTAAGAACTTAGTTTGCATAAGCTGCCTGGTGATTAGGAATATTTAAATACATCCATCTCACTGAATTTAGGCTCATTTACATACATTGGCATACTATTAATATAATACATTCAGGAAAATAGAGCACATTAATTTTTTAGCTCAATCAAGAGATCAGCAGAAATTCTAAAGCAACATTTTAGAAAGGGGAGCAAAATATACTTTAAAAAATGAAAGCTCTTTATAGATGTTATCAAATGCACTATGTATTGTAGAAATCTTCACAGATCTTTGTTCCTTTTGTAATAAATCTGTATTTATTGAGGTTATTGTAGTTAGTGATTGCTCCTCTATCATAGTCAGAACTCCATTTTATACATTCTGCATTCTGTGACAGGTATTCTTTAAGTGCTGCAATTTTGTATAATCTATATGCCCATTTTGAAACTTCCTGATGCTATTACTAATCCACACTTACATATGTTCAATAGCTACTAGTAAAACTAAATTTCCCCTAAAATGTCTTTTCATTTAGATATTGCGTAAGTGATAAATATGCTTAATATAAAACTTTAAGGGACTATAAACCTACTAGTAGTATGCATGTATGTAGTATATTTGTATGTGAGATATTTATCTATCTATCTATCTATCTATCTATCTATCTATCTATCTATCTATCT